CTGCAGGGCGGCTCAGATGTGGCTGACAGTCGAGGGGACATCTCTTGGTCTAACTTCAATTACAGTGCAAAGACACAAGACAGGAAATACTTTATTAGGCTTTTTAAAAGGCTTCTGTGGTGGCCTGAGACCATTAAAGGAAACCACTGTGTGTTTTTTTATAAATGCAATTAGACAAGCCACTGCATGAGGTGAGGTCGACCATCTTGATCTGACTGCCCGTTCAATCATCTTATGGCCGAGCTGCAGCAGAGCAGCAAACTCTGGATTTATTAAGGGTTGTGCACCCCTCAATTTGGAGGGATTAATCAACATGGTGGTCGGAAGTCACCACATAAAAAGTTTAAGGCCGTACATTTTAATATAGCTTTTTAATGGTCAATGGAAAAGCATCCAAATTGGCATGGCCCTGTAGACCATGAACTCAAACTCAAACTATTAACAAGATGTGCATTCGATGGCCACATTCAAACAGTGACCCCTTCTCTTTTCATTAGAGTGTGATGCTAATTAGTGTGAATGCTGTTTGATCTCTGGGCTCACACAGGTGTTATGATTATTTGTTATGATTAGGTGCTCAGCACAGAAACAAACACTGACAAATAGACTGGACTTTAACAGACTGTCTGAGCCTATTCTTTTCTGTCTGATGGAGACTTCATACTGACTTCAACATGTTCCACATATTTTATACATTATTGGTGACGTATAGTTTTAGTTCTAAAGTTTGCAGTCAAAATATTCTGCTGCTTTCCCAAGCCTTTTTACTTTCTTTTCTCTTCTTAATACACATTCATTCACTACTACTTACATCTGATATGTAACTCCTTCAGCCTACTTTCAGCTACAGAAACCATTCAACTATTACATTATTCAGCTATTTCAGGACATTGAGGCTATACATGTTAATAATAATAATAAATTCTATTTCTATAGCGCTTTTCTAAGACCCAAAGACGCTTTACATTTGGGGAAGGGTAGACAGACAAGGACAGGCAACAAAACAACAACAAAACAAAAACAAAACAGAGAAAACAAAAAAAAAAAAAAAAAACAGAAAGCAGTCAGGAGGAAGTGGGGGGTGGGGGGGGGCTTATGGGTATACAGACTTGAAGAGATGGGTTTTGAGGCGGGACTGGAACAGGGTGAGGGACTCAGACTCACGGAGGTCTTGGGGGAGGGAGTTCCAGAGCTTCGGGGCTGCCACAGAGAAGGCTCTGTCCCCAAAGCTCCGGAGTTTGGCCTTGGGGATGGAAAGCAAACCGGCTGAGGTGGATCTGAGGGACCGGGGTGGTTGGTAGAGGATGAGGAGGTCAGTGAGGTAGGGGGGGACCAGGTGGTGGAGGGCTTTGTAGGTGAGTACCAGGAGTTTGTGTTGGATGCGGTGTGAAACGGGGAGCCAGTGAAGTTCTTTGAGGACCGGGGTGATATGATGCCATGATTTGGTGTGGGTGAGGAGTCTGGCGGCTGCGTTCTGGACACGCTGAAGTCTATTGAGGGATGTAGTGCTGATGCCGTAGAGGAGTGCGTTGCAATAGTCCAGGCGGGAGGGTTGTTGTTGTTTATACCTTTTTTAAACCATTTATTTTAGATATTAAGCTTCTTCCAGTCCACATTTCACTTTCAAGTTTTCAACAAAGTCATTGCAATGCATTTGAGCTGTAACAATTTGATTCAAATCATTTCACTTTTCTGCATGTCTCCGCTAAGTTCAGCAACACACTTACTTGGTCTCTGTAGCTAAAAGCAGCTACAGAGACCATTCAGCTAATAAAATATTCAGCTTTTACTGCATTTTCTGCTAAATTCAGCCACAAATGTTCACAGTTTACAGCAGGAAATGCATTTTCTAGTTCACTGTGGTAATGTAGCATTCATTATTGTTGTGATAAGCTATGAAATGTATAGTCATGCTCTATAAATGTCCTGAATACAGACTCCAGGTAAAGTATTCACAGCACACAACCTGGCAACTCATCATTTCTGATTGATAATGGCTTAATACTAATGCATACTCATTCATAAATAATGTGTTAACAACCAACAAATACATTGTTTGTAAAGACAAGTCTACATTATTAAAAAGTGGTTGTAGAACTTACTTACATTGGAGTCAACTAAAATCAATACATACAGTGAACTAAATAATTATTTGATCCCTTGCAGATTTTGTAAGTTTGCCCACTTACAAATAAATGAACAGTTGATTTGATGGTAGGTTTATTTTAACAGTGAGAGTAAGAATATCAAAAAGAAAATCCAGAAATTGACATTATATAAAAGATAAAAATTGATTTGCATTTAACTGTGGGAAATAAGTATTTGATCCCCTTGCAGAACATGCCAAGATTTGACGGTGCATGGCCCCGTACATCCTCTCCTCGATGCAGGAAGTGGTCCTGTCCCCTTAGCAGAGAAACACCCCCAAAGGATAATGTTTCCACCTCCATGCTTGCCGGTGAGGATGGTGTTCTGGGGTTATAGTCAGCCTTTCTCATCCTCCAAACACTGCGTTTCGAGTTGATGCCAAAGATCGCAATTTTGGTCCAATCTGACCACATCACCTTCTCCCAAGCCTTCTCTGAATCATTCAGATGTTCATTGTCAAACTTCAGAAGGCCTTTCATGTTCTTCTTGAGCAGGGGGCCTTGTAGAGCTGCAGGATTTGATCCATAATGGTGTAGTGTGTTACTAATAGTTTTCTTGGTGATCGCACCAACAGTTGTCTCCTTCAAACCAAGCTGCTTTCTGGTGGTCTTGTAGCCAGTCCCAGCTTTGTGCAGGTCTACAATCTTGTCCCTGAGGTCCTGAGACAGCTCTTTAGTCTGGCCCATGGTGGAGAGGTTGGAATCTGATTGATTGATTCTGTGGACAGGTGTCTTTTATACAGGTAACAAGTTGATATTAGGAATATCTTTTTAAAGGAAGAGGTCTTATGTAACCGGTCTGTGGGAGCCAGAATTCTTGTTGGTTGCAAGGGGATCAAATACTTATTTCCCACAAGTAAATGCAAATCAATTTATATCTCTTATATGATGTACATTTCTGGATATTCTTTTTGATATTCTGTCTCTCATTAGTCAATTAAACCTCCAATTCAAATTATAGACTGTTAATTCCTTTGTACCTGTACCACATTTAACAAAGAAGTACTTTCAATGCAAATACTGAACATCAGAACCTTTTTATCACGGCCATTAGCAGTGCTTCTACTTTCAAGGTGCTATTTAAAAGTCAAGCATCTTGTGCTTATGCATCCTATATTTCTCTAAATAATTTCATATCATGTTTTCCTGTAAGTTTGAGTAAGGATAAGCTAAATACCACTAACTGTGCATCATGGTATGCATGTTCAGACCACAAACAGTGTGTTTGGACCGGACTGCACCAGCTACACATGAGCCCATCTCTAATGTTGTTTGTGAAGCCCTTACTTCACAAGTGATTTACTAAACCTAAACCTGTCTTTTACAAAATACTTTTATATATTACTAAATTGTTCAAAGGCAATGTTTTTTTGAGAGAAAGGAGTTGTAAGGATGGTCAAGGTAAGGGACTTTGGCCCCAGAGGCCCCTCACATTCTGTCTGTGGTTACAGTGGCTTCAGGAAGCTAAGGCACTTTGTTTACGGTGAGTGAAAGATCATGGTTTATTGTAGATGTTAATTAACACCATATTTCTCAAGTTACTGCAGAGTTTTTGAATTAAGACGGTTTTCCAATTGTCAGGAGAGATATGTACACCATGTTTCATATAATTCACTTTACTCTTCAGTTCAAACAGGTCAATGTACCAGATGCACAGTCACTATTTCATCGTACCCACAGGTCTGTGAAGGTTCCTTGAAAATGGATCTGGTTACATTAAAATAGATGTATAATGTCCTTATGAGAAAGCCACTGATGATGTCACAGTTAGTCAGGGTTATCTCAGACTGCAAACTAGAAGCCACCAGAAAGCCTGGGTTATAAAGTCAGACAGATGTTCACCTTGCAGGGAGGGTGCAATTAAGGATCTATGGATTTGCCTTATGGGAAATGCAAAACCAGTGTTTTGTAACTTGAATGATACTTGCAACAAAAGTCTCAATGCATCTCCTGTGCTGTTTTGACTTTGATCATTCCTCATTTTAATCTGAGCCAACTTTATGGAATTGTAATATAAAACTGCTAGATATCCCTTTCAATGTTCAAGAGATATTAAATGCATACAGCTTTCAAATCAATGCACTCAAGTATCACATACAAACATGCTTTTTTGCCACACATAGGGTAATCCCACCAGGTATTATGTAACAACAATTAGGCAAATTCAATCAGTCAACACTAAGGTTTTAATGGCACAATGATATGTGCTATGACAGATAACAAATTGTCTTATGTAAAGCCTCTACCCTAAATAATGTTAAAAAGCACAACTTTATATCAAACACAAAATCGATATAACAACAATTACTTAAATTAAATTAAAAATGACTATACTTTAAGAAAATGGCAAACTTAAAAAAAAGATTACCCACAATTAAGCTGATTTATTAAGCACACACCTCCATGGCAACCATGAGCCATTATTTAAACTTCCTTGTACTTCGTTCACATCATTTCAATGTGCAACGTGATTTATTCTAATTCCAGGCACCAGCGCCGCGCGCACAGCAGACCCTCCTGCAGACCGGACCGGACCCAGGACAGCAGGGCTTCGGTCCTGAGCTGGACCCAGGAGGACAGCAGGGCTTCGGTCCTGAGCTGAGACGTGCCGCAGCAGGCCGTCAGTTCACCGCCTGTGAGATTGTGCGCCCAAGCTCTGCGCAACCTAAAAATATCCCTCACCAAGCGCGGATCAAAGGGGGCAGCAACACGGCCACGAATCCCGCCCCGGCATCTAACCCACAGCCTCTCAGAGGAGGAGCAAACTCCGTGAGCAAAGGGCCCGCGGCATCCGGAGCTGTGAAAGGAGGAGGCTGGCTCGGGTTTCAGAGACGCGCACTGACGGCTGACCTGCGGCACGGTGCGGATCGCTCAGAGGAGAGCAGCGAATGGGATAAACGGAGCGGAACGCAGAGGAACCAGAGCCCGTCCCTGAGAACCAGAAACATCACTCACTGACTGATGACCAGCTACCATGTCTGGACTCTAACTTCTAGTGAGTTGCTCATCTGAGTCTATTAGAGAAGTTTGGACAGTTTGAAGAGGAAGGAAAGACATCTAGTAAACTTTTGCCTCAACAGAGAGGTAGCCTCACGCGCAGCAGGTCGACAGGATCTCTCTTCTGCTGCTCTTCACCTAATGAAGATAGGGATCCCTGTGGATAAAACCTGAGTTAGGAGATTAAAATGTGTGAGGATCAGAAGTGGGGGGTCGCGGGTAAACAGGGTGAGGAGAGGACCCGCAGCGCGCAGTCCAAGCAGCCCCGCTGGAGGAACTGGAAGGATTTGTCAGGCGTTTCAATTTGCATTGCAGTGTCTCTGCTGTGCCTTGGAGTTTGCATTGTGGTTTTTGTGAGGAGCTCGGAGCTGCAGTCCAGGATATTAAGTCTGGAGCAGCGGGACGCGCAGCTCTCCGCCTGGGTTGGGTCTCTGGAGCAGGTGGAGCCCGTTATCATGGGCCGGCTGGACCGCATCCTGGAGGAGGTGAGCCCCTTTCTTTGAAACCAAAACCTAAACGTTTGAGAAACAACATGGGATGTTCTGTAGGGGGATATATCAGCTTATTCACAGTATGTGAATACATTTATTAAAATAGATGAATATTTGGGCTTTGTCTTGATATAACTGTCTCTCTTTGGTGTAGAAACACTCCACACATTGTCTGTATAACTCACACCTAAAACACGCCAAACACTCGGACCTCATTTGCATAGCCTATTAATTCGACATTTTAGAAAAACCCATTATAATAAGTGCAATTCATCAAATCAATGGTGTCAAGGCCATATAACCATATTTCAAAGTTCTAATTTTCCTCTGTCAGGTTTGGTTTATTTGGGATAAATGGATTGAATGTAGGTTTAGGGCTGTTGTCTGCACTGTTTAAGGGTTGAAGGGGCTAAAACTCCCTGGTACTTTTTCTGGTCCTGTATTAGTGATATTAAAATACAACAACTTCAGCTAAACAGTTAACCCCCCCAAATCATTAGTAATAGATCAATTCAAGTTATTATGAGGTAAAAGGGTTCAGTTTCTTATTATGCCTCATGCTGAAACTCCAGACTTAGAGCGGTGGTTCAGTCACTTTGACCAGAGGATGGATAAAGTTAGAAAGAAGCATAGGTGATAAACCGAGGCCACTGCTTTTAGTCTGGATGGAAATTAACATCAAATATGTTTTTTAGTTGCTTCTTACTGTTTTCTGGGTGTTCTGCTAATGAATTATTGCATTCTACAGAAACGTGTGAGAAATGTGTCTGTATAAGTCGAACTTGATTGATACAGCTTATTTTGGCAACACCCAAACGTGTTATTTGTAATGGCTTCTAACTGGTTTAAAGAGCATTAGTAAATGCTCATTAATTAATAGTTAGCCATCGTTGACAATTTATAAACACCTGATTCAGAGAAAATGTTAGGCGACCCAACACATGTAAATGGCCTAATTATGGCTTCTACCTGATGTATAAATCATTACTAAAGGCTTTCTTAATCAATAATGAAGCTTTATCAAGCCTATCAAGTACTCCGAGAGGTTCCTGCTTGTCTCTGAGTGAGATGTTGCCAGTGTGTACATGTGTTATAAGCATCATGGTTCACTGAGATAACGCTGAGGATCTCTCCCTCACATCTGCTGCTCTCCTGTGGCACACTGCTGTCCTTTCATTGACCACTTCCACAGCTACACCAACAAACTCTCAAAAGTGATTGAAGTCAGGCCTGTTTCACCTTCCTCCCGTTTGCTTTGGCCAAACTTTTATCCCCCCCCACCCTGACCCCTCTCACTAGGAGTAGCACAATAAACTGACCAGGAGAAGTGAGGGCACTGGGAACCTAACGTTGGGGTGATGGCCTTATTGCACTCCATATGTTAGTCAACATTTCATCAGACCAAATACCTGAAAAAGAAGGCACTCTATATCTGGAAGAGGGTATAAAGAGATGATGAGCTGACGGGTTATTTATTGTTGTCATTTTCGGAGGTGTACACTACGCATTCCTTTGAGGTGAGAAGAACGATATCAATGGATGAGTTCAGCGCTATGGGCATGATTTAAAAGTGAACTGAGGTCATGAGGTCAAGTCTCCTAAACCCCCACCCCAACAGAAGTGTAAATGACTTTTGACTAATGATTCATCTGCATTTCCCTGCAAACACTCTGTGTAGCCCGGGTAGTCCGGCAGGTTAGTGAGAACAGACTTTGTTTTGATCAGAAAGCTTTCAACGTGTTGCTAGGTGTATTTGATCCCCTGTAAACATAACTCACTCCCTTTGGTATACCTTAATGTCGAGCTCTGTTCTTAACACACAGAATTGATATCATTACCAACCATTCCATGTCACTTTCTTTGTGATCAACAAATGAGATTGTACTTTTCCATATTTGTTTACAAAAAGAACATAGTGGGGTTGATGCACTAAACACACAGTTCTGGGCAGTCAGTGGTGTTTGTCAGAGGTGGAAACATATCTCAGGTAAGAATTCAACTCTGTTACAGTAAAAGTCCTGCATTCAAAATGTTACTCAAGTAAATGTAGAAAAGTATTATCAAAATATACTTAAAGTACCAAAATAGTGATTGTGCAGATTGGTCCATTTCAGAATAATATATATGATATGTTTTATAATGATTGATCATTAAAGTGTTCTCAAAGCTGGTAAAGGTGCAGCTAGTTTGAATGACTTTGTATACTGCAGGGTAGCTTGTGGATTTACTCCAGGTGGAACTAAAGTCTGATTTAACACTTGATTATATTTCACATCATTCATCCACATCTGTAAAGTAACTAAAGGTATTACATACATGTAGTGGAGGAAAAGTACACCATTTACCTCTGAATTCTAGAAGTACAGAGTAGCAAAACATTTGAATACTCAAGTAAAGTATAGTCTCTCAAAATGATACTTCAGTACAGCACTTGATAAATGTACTTAGTTACTTTACACCAGTGGTGTTGTGAGCCTGGCTCTGGGGCTCCTCCATGTGAGGGGGGCTCCATCTTCAGCCTGCCTCTCTGTTTAGCTCTGTGTGTATAAATAGTTATTATTAATGAGACACAAGCACAGATGTGTCCAGTTGTTGAAAGAGAGAGATGTCTACGTAGACATAGAGTTACACCCAGCACTACCCAGAATCCTCCTCTCCTTCGGTGATGACCACTTTTGTTCCAGCAGCATAAAGTTGTATATTTTTTAAATTATTATTATTCCAGTACAATTGAGGTCAGAAATCCATTTGCTTATTGAGGTATGTTCAAAGAGATTGTTTCCCTAATGCACCATTACAAATAAATGACACATTTTAAACAAAATATGACATCAATGCACCACTTTGCTTCGCTGGATAACATGTTCCTTTATTACCATGAACACACTCTGTAGACTATTTCGACTCAATCCCACAACACCGTCCTGCTGTCACAGAACTCACAAGAACACCAAATGTGGGTTCATCCTCAGCTGATAATAGTCACACCATTTCCTGCTCTTGGAGTAAAGTTTGTTAGAAATACACTGAGCAGCTGTTTGAGGAAATAATTTAGCCTTTTTATTTTTTTGAAATGAACCTGTACATTCTGAAGTGTTTTAAAAATAAATCTTCAGGAGGAACCAATGTAATGCAATGCTGAGAGCCACAGACACGAAGGAAATGCAGACACATTATTGGTTTGGGTCTTTTCCTTAAATTCGGAGACAATGAGAAAAATAATGAATAATGGAATCCTAATGCTTTAAATTGTGTAAACATAACAGTAAACATCAAAAGTAGATCCATTTTAGATTTGAAACATTTGAAACATTTTGTGAAATGCTCGGTCAGGAGTCAGGATGCGGTTAGCTTAGCATAAAGACAAACAGCTGGCCTGGCCCTCATTAACACATCTTGTTAAGATCCATTCTAGTTTTCTCATCGGATGCAAAATTGTTAAGGTCAAAAGATGATTCATTTTATTATGTAGGATTTCACAATTTCTGTTTAAGTGTGGATTAATTGTGAAACTTTAGGGTGGTGGTGGCTCAGTCCGTAGGGTCTTGACTTGGGAATTGGAAGGTCAACCGAGTACCACCAATAAAGGTTCATCTTATTCTTAAACATACAATCTATGATGTCCTTAGAGGTGTGGGTTGGTGTAGTGTAGCAGTTGCCGAATGTGTCCAGTCTTTATGTTAAGCTAGACTGTTAGCTCCATGTCTAACCCACAGACATGACAGCCGTATTGATATTGTGTATATATACTATAACATGACGCTTGATTTTCTAGCAGCTTTAAAGCAGAGTGAGACATCTCTCTGTTTGAGCACAACATAAAGTGTATTCCTATGTTCCTAAAGGTTGACAGCAAATTCTCAACAGGTGTCAGAGTTAAGAATAATGTTTGTGAGGTTCTTGAATTGCATCATACCTCCATGAAAATAACTGCCATAAACTTAACATATGTCGTTATCTCACCCCCCACTTTGAAAAGGTCAAAGCAATGGTTGACAAAGGAGGTGTTGTTGGTGCAGTATTCCTGGATCTACGCAAAGCTTTTGATACAGTCAATCATAAGGTCCTTCTGTCCAAACTGTCGGCTTTTAACTGCTCTCCATTAACACTCAGTTGGATTGAATCATACCTCACTGGTAGGCGTCAGCATGTTACCGTCAATAATCGACTCTCTCCAGCTCTAGACTTAGGTGCCCTTTACACAAGAACGAAACGGCTTGTATCTGCATAGTTTCTCTTACGTATAGCCCTATTATTTACACGAGGCCGTAACAAACGGACCCCACAAACGATAACGGGTCCCAAGGTGGATAGATTTGCAAACGAAACGCTCTGGGGGGTCAAACGAGTCCGTGTAATCGCCTCTATACGAATATTTCCTGAAAAAATAACGATAGCCCCACCTCTCCCCGCCTCTGCTGCTCACTGCTGTAGCATGGCCAGTAGCTACTGTCAGTAGCTACTGCTAGTGCTACTGCTACTGACCATGCTACAGATGTTAGTACAACATCTACAGCTCGACCATGCTACAGATGTTAGTGCAAAATCTACAGCTCCTCTACCACAACCATCAGCTACAAGTGGACATGGAGAATTACATGAACTACTACATGTTGCTAAATCCACCGCGGGGCGTAAACAGAAGGGTAGCCATGGCAACATTGCTGCGGGGCTGCTCCGGGGTCTTCTTCGCTGCTTTTGGTGTATTTTGTGGCGGAAGTTACAGCGCTACTTACAGTCCCGGCATATGTACTACAGCGTTTCCAGCGGTCTCGTTTGAACAGACACGTTAAATGAAACGAATGCATGTGAACGGAAGACTTTTTTGAAAACGCATACTGTGCATAAACGCAAACGTTCCCGTGTAAAGGCAGCCTTAAGCACCGGAGTACCACAAGGTTCAATACTTGGTCCACTTCTTTTTACCCTATATATTAATGACCTGCCATCTGTCTGTCCTGATGTGGAAACACAGCTATATGCAGATGACACTG